TTCAATAGCTGCCCACTGCACCACCTGGTGGTGGATGGGTTAAATGCAGAGACTAATTTCGCCATTGTATGGAAACATACAGTGCTGACATTGTGATGACATTATTATTATTATTATTAAAGTGTCCATGTCCCGTTCAGAGGTGAGCTTTCAAAAATTAATCTGGTCCGTCAGAACCAAAGAGGTGGAGCAAAACTCTGCTGTGCTGAAGCAGAGTGATGCATTCAATGTGTGTCGGATGACTCCCTCGTGTCATTCACTAAAATTAATTAACTCAGTTTAACGATCCTCTTTGTGGTTAACTACTTGTACAAACTAACTACAAAGTTGCTGTGCGTCATCATCAATATTCTCTCGATAATAAATCTGTTAGTATTAAGTAAAGATGTGTGAACTCATGTGTGAGAGAGTCACTTCCCAGTGACTGTGTGAGCATGGCAAAGCATGATGGGTAGGAATTATGTGTGCAATGTTTCTGACTGTTTACGATGTTCCTGCATTTGGAAATGGTTTTTTCATGTTATTTTCCTGTTCTGGTTTGGTTTATTTATGTTAAAGTCTGTTATTGGCTGTAAACTGGCACCATGAGTTAGAGACTGTTTGCAGTAGATATGAGGGGAAAAGCATTGTGAGGGTGGTCACGTCACCAGGTGGTGCTTAGCGCTGTGTAGTATAGTATAGTGTTGCTCCGTGTAGATATTCTCCTGTATGCTTTTAGTGCAGAGAACTGGCATAAAAAAATTAGTGGACCTGAATTTACCACATTTACCAGATTTAAATTTAGCAGGAGCTAATTCCGCTAAAGGTTTTCAAAGTTAGTGAAAATGCTAATCCGCTACTTAGCTCCACTATTGGTGGATTAGCGGAACCGTGCCCACCACTGGTCTTTATATTTTTTCAGCTTCGGTTTGGAAAAACGAGTTATTTCTGACTGAATTCATGAGCCAACTGGGCCAAGCCCTAAGTGGATTAGCTAATGTCTTAAAGCAACTGTAATCTGCAATCTGCCATTAGTTTTATTTAAATATCCATCCATTAATCCATCCATCCATCTACACACTTTTTCCTTTTCGGGTTGCAGGGTTATTTAAATATTGTTTTTATAAACTATTGTATTGCTGTCTGTATCACATTCCCTGCATCCATCGATCCATTGATCCATCCATCCATCCATCCATCCATCCATCCATCCATCCATCCAGCCAACCATCCAACCATCCATCCATCCATCCATCCATCCGTCCATCCATTTTCTTCCGCTTATCCGGGGTCGGATCGCGGGGGTAGCAGCTTAAGTAGGGAGGCCCAGACTTCCCTCTCCCCAGCCACTTGGGCCAGCTCCTCCGGGGGAATCCCGAGGCGTTCCCAGAAGAGCTGAGAAACATAGTCCCTCCAGCATGTCCTGGGTCTTCCTCTGGGTCTCTTCCTAGTGGGACATGTCCAGAACACCTCACCAGGGAGCCATCCAGGAGGCATCCTAGCTAGATGCTCGAGCCACCTCAACTGTCTCCTCTCGACGTGGAGAAGCAGCGGCTGTACTCTGAGTCCCTCTCGGATGATCGAGCTTCTCACCCTATCTCTAAGAGAGAGCCCAGACCTGCGGAGGAAACTCATTTTGGCCGCTTGAGATCTCGTTCTTTCGGTCACAACCCAAAGTTCGTGACCATAGATGAGGGTAGAAACCTAGATCGCTCGGTAAATTGAGAGCTTCGCATTTTGACTCGGCTCTCTCTTCACCACGACAGACCTGTATATAGCCCGCTTCACTGCAGATGCTGCACCTATCCGCCTATCGATCTCACGCTCCATTTTTTCCTCATTTGTGAACAAGACCCCAAGATACTTGAACTCCTCCACTTGGGGCAGGACCTTCTCCCTGACCTGGAGAGGGCACTCTACCCTTTTCCGGCTCAAGACCATGGCCTCAGGATTTGGAGGAACTGATCTTCATCCCGGCTGTGTCACACTCTGCTGTGAACCGCTCCAGCGAAAGCTGTAGGTCACAACCTGATGAAGCCAATAGGACCACACCATCTGCAAAAAGCAGAGACACAATCCTAAGGCCACCAAAACGGATCCCTCAACACCTTGGCTGTGCCTAGAAATTCTTTCCATAAAAGTTATGAACAAAATCAGTGACAAAGGGCAACCTTGGCGGAGTCCAACTCTCACCGTGATCGAGCCCGACTTACTGCCGGCAATGCGGACCAGGCTCTGACACCGGTCATACAGGGACCTAACAGCCCGTATCAAAGGGTGCGGTACCCCATACTCCCAGAGTACCCCCCCACAGGGTTCCCCAAGGGATGCGGTTGAACCAAGTCCACAAAGCAAATGTAGACCGGTTGGGCAAACTCCCACGCACCCTCCAGGACCCTGCTGAGAGTGTAGAGCTGGTCCAGTGTTCCACGACCAGGACGAAAACTGCACTGCTCCTCCTGAATCCGAGGTTCAACTATTTGACGGACCCTCCTCTCTAGAACCCCTGAATAGACCTTACCAGGGAGGCTTAATAGCGTTATCCCTTGTAGTTGGAACACACTCTACGGCCCCCCTTTTTGAATAGGGGGACCACCACCCCGGTCTGCCAATCCAGGGGAACTTCCCTCGATGTCTACGCAATATTGCAGAATCGCGTAAGCCAACACAACCCTACAACATCCAGAGCCTTAAGGAACTCTGGGCGAATCTCATCCACCCCTGGGGCCCTGCCACCGAGGAGCTTTTTAACCACCTCGGTAACCTCAGCACCAGAGATTGGAGGGCATGACCCAGTGTCCCCAGGCTCCGCTTCCTCAGTGAAGACGCGCCGTGGGATTGAGGAGGTCTTCAAAGTATTCTGCCCACCGACCCACGACATCCCGAGTTGAGGTCAGCAGCACACCACCCCCACTATAAACAGTGTTGGTGGTGTACCGCTTTCCCCCCCGAGATGCAGGATGGTGGACCAGAATTCCCTCTAAGCCGTGCGGAAGTCATTCTCCATGGCCTCTCCGAACTCCTCCCATGCCCAAGTTTTTGCCTCAATGACCATCCGAATCACATGTCGCTTGGACTGCCGGTACCCATCAGCTGCTTCTGGGGTCCCAGAGGCCAAAAAGTCCCGATAGGACTTCTTCTTCAGCCTGACAGCATCCCTCACCGACGGTGTCCACCACCGGGTTTGAGGGTTGCCGCTGCGACAGGCACAAACATCCTTGCGGCCGCAGCTCCGGTAAGCTGCCTCGACAATAGAGGCACGAAGCATGGCCCACTCGGACTCAATGTCCCCTACCTCCACCGGAACATGTTCGAAGTTCTCCCGGAGGTGGGAGTTAAAGCTCCATCTCACAGGAGACTCTGCCAGACGTTCCCAGCAAACCCTCACAATATGTTTGGGCCTGCCAGGTCTGACTGGCATCCTCCCCCACCATCGGAGCCAACTCGCCACCAGGTAGTGATCAGTGGACAGCTCCGCCCCTCTCTTCACCCAAGTGTCCAAGACATGTGGCCGCAGATCAGATGAGATGACGACAAAGTCGATCATCGAACTGCGGCCTTGGGTGTCCTGGTGCCAAGAGCACACCCTTATGCTTGAACATGATGTTTGTTATGGACAATCCATGATAAGCACAGAAGTCCAACAACAGAACACCACTTGGGTTCAGATCGGGGGGGCGTTCCTCCCAACCACACCCCTCCAGGTCTCACTGTCTTTTCCCACGTTCCCTGCATTCTGGTAGAAATATGGTATAGTTTGCAAGAAGTGTCCCAGGCTTCACCAAGTGCTACAGCTGACTATTGCTCTTATGAATAAATGCACAATTATTTGTAAATCAGATCTATTTTTGTTGATCATACAGATATTTTTGCACAGTTGGAGCTCTAAAGCAGGAAAATGGAAATTATGATCCTAGGTTGTTTATAGCTGTATTACACTCTTGGTGGCATAATGTTTACTGCAGCTCCATGTTCTGCAGGGGTTACAAGATGACATTGTAGTCTATATGAGTTTTATTACCTGCTGTTGAATTGTTTATTTTCTGGCATCAATATTCCTTAAAGGATTAGAGTTGCATGGGTTTTGAACAGACAAAACGGAACAAGTTCTATTCGGTATCCATTGCATATTTTAGTTTAAATTGACAAATTAAAGAAAACCAGCACAAAAATAGATATTAAACTGTCACTTTCAGTTGAAGAATCATCCATCACATTTCTCTTCCTGTTAAAATGACACTCATGTCTGAGTTTTCTGCTTGGTTTTGATGTCTGTCTTCTGAAACGAACGCGCCTTTGCATTTACATCTGCAGTGAATTTAAATACCACAAAAGATTATAATCCTGGATGTGAGGCTTTGGCTAAACAAGAGGCACATTGCAGTAGGATAAAGTCACGGAAGTAGACTGCAGGTTGTCTATCTGTAGCTGTTGGAGAAAAATGTGCAACTCTGCTGAGCTTGTGTGTTTTACTAACTACTTCTGTGAAAGATGGTGAGAATTATCGATTGACTTCTCAGCACTGGCACTGGGTCAGCTGATGTCACGGTCCTGCTGCTCTGCAGTGAGACGGCTTTTAAAAAGGGAAACTAGTTTGTTGCTGTCTTTCTGCCGCTCATGTTCTGCCCTCTGTCACCCACAGCCATTCGAGGCCAGTGACCTGCTGCTGGGCCTGAACTTCTCCAAGGTGCTGAGCAGCCTGGTCACCTTGAATAAAGTGACGGCAGGTTGGTTAATATAAGTGCAGTGTGTGAGTTTTATTTCAGCATGCTGGTTTGTGTTTTTATTTATTACAGAAAGTGGTGTAGGTAATAGTGTGTGGGTGCTGACTGGAGATACTAAGCCTTGTTTATTTATATTCTGCCATTTTTGTGTGTAGATATTGGCGTGGGAAGTGATTCAGTGTGCGCCCGACACTCTTCCGCCCACCGCATCAAGTCGTTTGAGTCACTGTCCACTCAGGCTTCACTGGGCCGATCTTCCAAGCTGCTGCAGAACCAGTTTAGAAGTCTGGTAAGGTTTACACACACATACATCTCATTTAAATATGAATCATTTAAATCGTCAAGTTCAGTTGTTACTTAAGCTAACACTCAGCCACAGATTAAAGCTTCTGCCAAGAGTAAATTTAAACTAAATCTGATATGAGAAAAAAATTAATGGAATTAAACCTAAAAGCTTGTTTTGTGTATTCAAATAAGTGCTAATTATGAAGTTAAATAGTTGTACAAGGTTTGCTTTCTTTTGAGTTGTCCTCTTCTTCTGACCTCTCTCCACCCTCATCAGGACATGTCAGAAAACAGTGGTCAGCAGCTGCTGGTGAAGGCTCGGTTCAACTTCCAGCAGACCAACGAGGATGAGCTCACCTTCAACAAGGGTGACATCATCAACGTGACTCGTCAGGAGGAGGGTGGCTGGTGGGAAGGGATGCTCAATGGCAAGACTGGCTGGTTTCCAAGCAACTATGTGCGTGACGTCAAAGGCTCTGGTAGGTGCTACAATTACATTCATGTTAAGATGGGTAATAAAAAATGCTCTGATTTGTGTTTATAATGTCATGTTAGGATAGTTGTCTAGTCATTATCTCCTGTTTTTACAAACCGGATTCCAAAAAAGGTGGGACAGTAAACAAATTGTGAATAAAAACTGAATGCAATGATGTGGAGATGGCAAATGTCAATATTTTATTCGTAATATAACATAGATGACAGATCAAAAGTTTAATCTGAGTAAATGTAACATTTTAAAGGAAAAATATGTTGATTCAAAATTTCACAGTGTCAACAAATCCCAAAAAAGTTGGGACAAGTAGCAATAAGTGGCTGGAAAAAGGAAATTGAGCATATAACGAACAGCTGGAAGACCAATTAACACTAATTAGGTCAATTGACAACGTGATTGGGTATAAAAAGAGCTTCTCAGAGTGTCAGTGTCTCTCAGAAGCCAAGATGGTAAGAGGATCACCAATTCCACCATTGTTGCGCAGAAAGATAGTGCAGCAATACCAGAATGGTGTTACCCAGCGTAAAATAGCAAAGACTTTTAAGTTATCATCATCAACTGTGCATAACATCATCAAAAGATTCAGAGAATCTGGAACAATCGCTGTGCGTAAGGGTCAAGGCCGTAAAACTCTACTGGATGCTCGTGATCCCTTAAACGTCACTGCACCTCAAACAGGAATGCCACTGTCAAGGAAATAACAGAATGGGCTCAGGAATACTTCCAGAAAGCATTGTCAGTGAACACAATCCCCCGTGCCATCCGCCGTTGCCAGCTGAAACTCTACAGTGCAAAGAGGAAGCCATTTCTAAGCAAGCTCCACAAGCTCAGACGTTTGCACTGGGCCAGGGGTCATTTAAAATGGAGTGTGGCAAAATGGAAGACTTTTCTGTGATCAGATGAGTCACGATTTGAAGTTCTTTATGGAACACTGGGACGCCATGTCATCCGGACCAGAGAGGACAAGGATAGCCCAAGTTGTTATCAACGCTCCGTTCAGAAGCCTGCATCACTGATGGTATAGGGTTGCATGAGCGCTTGTGGCATGGGCAGCTTGCATGTCTGGAAAGGCACCATTAATGCAGAGAACTATGTTCAGGTTCTAGAACAACAT